CCACGTCGCCCGAGCCCCCTCGGGGCAGCCCGGGGCCGAGCCTCGCGCCGGGCCCGGTCCGAGAGAAGGGCGCGGGCAAGAGGGGTCCGGATCGCGGCAGCCCAGAGTACCGGCAGCGGCGCGAACGCAATAACATCGCCGTGCGCAAGAGCCGCGACAAGGCCAAGCGCCGCAACCAGGAGATGCAGCAGAAGCTGGTGGAGCTGTCGGCCGAGAACGAGAAGCTGCATCAGCGCGTGGAGCAGCTCACGCGGGACCTGGCCGGCCTCCGGCAGTTCTTCAAGCAGCTGCCCAGCCCGCCTTTTCTGCCGCCCACCGGCGCCGACTGCCGGTAACGCTCTGCCCGGGCTCAGAGACTCCAAACGACCGATACCTCAGCCCCCGACGGCCAGGAGCACACGCCGCCAGAGCCGCTGCAGTTTCGTTGCGAGCGACCGGAAGCTGCAGCTTGGACACTGGACTGCGAGAGAAGCTATGAGTCTTTCCCCCTTAAATTATTTTTATAATGGTAGTGTTTTCTACGTCTTATTACCATCGCAGCTAAGGTACATTTGTAGAAAGAGAAGACTTTCCGACAGACTTTTGTAGATAAGAGGAAGAGACTGCGCATGCTTTTTATATTCATTTTTACAATATTTGTAAGAATAAAGAAGCATTTAAATCGCTGCAGCTTCCTAAATTCAGTCTCTCCCGCACACAATGTACTAGGACTTCACCAGGGAAAAGCAGGCACCTGGGAGCCACAGGACCAGGTGTGGTGCCCACACGGGGTAAGGAGACTTGAGACATGAGTTTGCTTGCTTTGGAAGCCTCGCAGAGTTGGCCTCATGCTCTGTATTGCCAGCGGAAGGGACATGGGAAAGCATGGTTACTCCATGTTAGGTTTTAAGATGCGATCCCAGAGTGTGCAGACCTGGGTTGGGGCTGGCCAGAGAATAGCTGTGAGAGTGGAAGAAAGCCCCGGAGAGCCAGAAACCGGATTCCTCTTCGCCTGTGGGCTTTGCTTTCACTTTCCTCAATCCTAGGGACGTGCTGTAGTTTTCAAACTGTGCACCAGGAAAAAGTCAGATTGTAAAATATAAAAGGGGCAGCCCCAAACACCTTTAATTGTAATGTTTGAGGGTTTAATCCAAAAAAAAAAAGCTCTGTACATTTCTCCTAAGAAAACCATGTCTTAGGAACACGGCCTTGTTATTAAGTTACTGTGCAGAAGAAAAAAAAAATAAATTCAGGGTTCAAATATGTAGCTTCGTTAGTAATTCAAATCCAGTCCAAAGCACAGGACAGTGGGTCACTGTGAGTATGAACTTTGCCCTCGGGCAGGTGTGTGCTGGAGTAAGCTACAGAGGCTTGTTTAACACAGCTCAGCTGTACGGTATGGGTGACAGTGCCATCTCTGGCAGTCTCAAGAACACTAGAATCACAAAGTGTTTGGGTTGGACATTTGTTTATTACAGCCGAACAGCAACATCTCAATAGGAGATATTGCTTGAAGCTTTAACATTAAATACCACAGAGAAAAAAATGTACACACATAGGTATAAAGCTACGTCCTAATCAATCAGTAATATTGCCTAAGTAATGCAAAATGAAGACCACAGAGATATTCAAGCTTTAGAAACATGTTCTCAAACTTAGAGGAAGGTAATTAAAAAATATAATAAAGGTATTTTGATTTTTAATTTACAAAACCATCCTATTAATCTATTTACCAGGAAAAATAGAAACCTATTAAATTTAAAAACCATTAAAATACTCTGTGGCGTTAACATAGCTCCCCAAAACAAGCCCCCACCCTTCGTGCAAAGTTCCCAGATGTCAGGAAGGAGGGTGGTTGGCTCCTCCTGCATCCAGAAGCTCAATCTCCTCCAGTGTGACGCAGCCGGTCTGCTGTGGGGTGACGGACTGGACAAAGCAGAATAAAGGTCCCATCTCCTTCCCAAGGACATTCTTCACTTCATAACTCTGCAGTGACAGAAGCAAGCTGGTTAAAGCAAACAGTCCCGGACTCCGAACATTCTGTTCCCAACAATGCCACAGCCAGGGCAAAGGCCCTTCCTTCCAATGGCAAACAGTTTTCTGGGGTGCTTGGGTGAGGGTGTATTATAAAGGCCCCCTTTATTACAGCAAACAAACGAACTACTTTATCACTTTATTCTGATGTTTGGCTGTTTCGGGCACCAGGATAAGGGGCCTAGCACAGGATCTGGAAGACAATAAGTACAGGAAGTGCTGTCCTTCCATGGGGGCTGGGCTTTTGGCTTGCAAGTCTCCCACTTCCTTTGGGGACACTTCCCCAATCTAGCAACACTTCTGGTCAGAGGATTTCCTGGTGCTTGCCCCAAACTTCCCTCTTCAATTGGATTCCATTTCTTCTTGAATTTCATGGGGCTAACCATTTCTTTCCACGCAGTGGTAATGTGACTTTTTCTCAAGTAAATCTTGAGAAAGTTTCATCTTCAGACATAAACACAGGTACTGGGTAACAGGGCTTCTATCTCTGATGTGGCTGTGCCTTGTCTGGGCTTTTACAGATCCAACTTCAGAGCATTTTTGGTGAGGGTGGGATTAAAAATAAAACTCACACTTGGAGATGGGACTGATACTGCCGTGTGATAGCACCCTGGCCTGTCTTGTCCTCTGCACAAGGCAGGGTCATCCCCTTCAGCATTTTTGTTCGTTTGGTTTTTTTTGTTTTGTTTTGTTTTTGAGACAGGGTTTCTCTGTAGCTTTGAAGCATGTCCTGGAACTAGCTCTTGTAGACCAGGCTGGCCTCAAACTCAGAAATCTACCTGCCTCTGCCTCCCAAGTGCTGGGATTAAAGGTGTGTACCACCATCGCCCAGCTAGGATTTAGTTTTGTACATATGAATTCAGGCCATCCATGGTCAAGACCTTTGGGTCAAGGAGATGGACAGAAAATGTGGTCAACACAGATTTTGGCTCCTGGCATTCTACCTGTGTCCTTAGTGCCACCCCAAGTCTGGGCTGGCCACAGTGATGTCCTAAACTCAGGAAGGGTGGCAAGCCCAGTCAGGCACTATGAGGAAGCTGGCAAGGAGTCCTCACTGGGGAGGCTTCTGTGACTGCAGCCCTGCCTTGAGGGTACCAGCCATGGAACAGAGATGAAACATCCCACTGCAGCCCAGAAAGGACTGTATGTGTGCAGAGGGCTGGGTATTTTGTTTGTAGAGGATCAGTAGCTTACTTGTTACTTTGTAAAGTTTTGGATTCCTTAATACAAAATAAGCAAGGTCTACAGTTTGGTTCAAAAGCCTGACAGGAAAAATGAGACCTGCAGAAGAGGAAGGTCAGAGGCTTCACAGGAGGTGGGTCTTCACTGCAGGTGGGCGTGGCCTGCTCCAGGGTGAGGTCTGAACTGAGCACCAGCACCAGACCAGGCACCAACAGGTGGCGGGAGCAGGGTGCCAGGGGGCCGACTATGCGTTCCTCCAGTGTCTCTTACTGCGTTCCTTTCCCAGTGCTTGTTTAAGTGTGAAAAAGTGACCCAGGCATTCCCATGTATTCCTCCGGTAAAAGTATGAATTTTTTGCTTTCTTTTGAGGCAAGGTTTCATGCCATGTAGCTCAGGCAGACCTCAAACTTGCTATGTGGCTGAGGATGCCCTTAAATTCCCGATTCTCTTACCTTACTTCTCAAGTGCTGGAGTTACAGGTGTGAAACACCACGCCCAGCTCATAAATATGGAATCTGGATTTCATAAAGGTCAGTGCAAAATTATTTCTATGTAAAATGTTAGGTTCAGTTCCATCACCTAGAGACTTAATAAATCATATGTATTTTTGGGAAATGAACATGGTGAATTTAAAACATTCATATCAGCAAATTCATGCACTGTCCATATGAATGAATGAATGAATGTGTGTGTGTGTGTGTGTGTATCCATCTGATTTTTAGTATTTACTCATTTATTTCGTGTCTTTTTGAGAAAATCTGACAGTGCTTGGATTGAACCCAAGTTTTTCTGCATGCTGGGCAACTACTATTCTCCTGAGCTACAGTCAATTCCCTGGGTCTCTATTTTTTTTTTAAAGATGTAATACACGTGTGCCTTTTCTAAAAGTCGAGGGAGCAGATTTCGACCCCACGTCTGTAATGTCACTAGTGAGAAACAGCAATAACAACAACGTTAATCTTAACGCTTCCACACTCACAGTGTGAGCACAGCGAACACATACCATTTCGCATTCCTGTATCATAACCAGAAACAGTACATTTGGTTCAGGGATGGGAGTATGGTTTTTTGGAGCTCCCTAACTGGATTCTCTGGGATTCTGTAAATGTGCATCCTCACCAGAAACCCCCAGAGTCTAGAATGGGTGACTTGCAGCTGTCTGCCATCGTGTGTCAGGCTCCGCTCCAGATCAGAGGATGGTGTAGAGAGCTTGCTAAAATGTACTCATGGCGTGGCTTGTCCTTTGCCCACTGATGTGGACTCTGAATCTAGAGCACCTACAAAGGTGACACCAAGTGCTATGACCGCCATGTCATTGCATTTAACATCTGTGCACATGTATGTACAAGTGTGCAACCATAGGGGAGAGTATATGCATGTACAGTCAGTGTCCAAGTAGACTCCTCATACACAAGTGCATGCACAGCTAGTACACACACACAGGCAGTGTCCAAGCAGATTCACACACAAGCACATTCACCCCCGTACTTCCACACACAGGAACACATGCCCATAGGCCTTTCCAAGCCTTACAAGGACGTTTTCAGCTACCAGAGCATTCTGGTCGAGAAGTTAAGTGCTGGAGGAACAATATACCTCAGCCAGCAGGAAACCGAAGAAAAGAAGGATTTCTGCCAATGTTTCCTGGTGTTTTGATCCCCAAAGAGGTATTATCTTACAGAAGGTACTAGACACTGTCTTTTTGGGACATCAGGGTTCATGGTGGCCACTGAGTCAGAGGGCTGATGCATCACGGACAGAATGTAGTTATTGATGGTCGAGGGTTTGTTATTCACCCTGAAGCAGGACTTTCCACGCTGTCCCCCGCCTTCTCCACAGGACATACTCAGTAAACTACGGCCCACCTTCTCAAGCACCCACCTGAGCACCTACACCCACCAGAAACCTCTAACATCAGTCTCTGTGTTCTCCTGGTCCAATGGCATCCAATGTTTCATCTTCCTCCCATAAAGACCAAACAGCAGGAGATACATTTCAGCAAATAGACACTGCTTTCTGTCCCCTTTGAAGCAGTGTAAGTTCTTCAAGTCTGTCTCATGCTTCCTGTCTTGGCTAACTACCAACTACCAGCTGTCCCTTCTGCAGAGGGAAAAGCTACCATGGTGGGACCTTGTGGTGAGTCCCTCATGGAGGTGGGCAACAGCGAGGGCCGTGTGTGAGCAATGGGCTTGAAATTCTTAGGCCACGGTGACAGCCGACTTTCACAGAATGAGAAAGTCAGCTGTGTGCGCTAACTCGCTGCCAAAGCAGCAGCTCAGATGAAGGTTCCAGGACAGAGTACAAGGCCACCAAAGAGCTGTACGGCTGGCGGTTTTATACCAGGGGAACAGAAACTGGCACCTTGTGAAGTCAGCGCTGAGAACCACAGCTCAGACCAACAATCCTCACAGCCTATTTATGCATCTTCTGATTTCATGACAGTGCTCGCTGAGATGAAAGAGGGTTAGTG